GAAGGCACAATGGTGTTGAACGTTGAGCTGTAGTCATTGAACAGCATTCTCATGTAGGTGTTCCTTTTGTCCAGGTGGGAAAGGGCAGTGTGGAGTGCAATAGAGATTGCGTCATCTGTGGATCTGTTGGGGCGGTATGCGAATTGGAGTGGGTCCAGGGTGTCTGGGATAATGGTGTTGATGTGAGCCATGACCAGCCTTTCAAAGCATTTCATGGCTACAGATGTGAGTGCTTCAAGGCAGTAGTCATTTAGACAGGTTACCTTGGCATTCTTGGGCACAGGGACTATGGTGGTCTGGTTGAAACATGTAGGTATTAGAGACTGGGTCAGGGAGAAGACACTTGCCAGCTGGTCAGCGCATGCTCTGAGTATGCATCCTTGTAATCCATCTGGTCCTGCGGTCTTGTGAATGTAACCTGTTTAGAGGTCTTACTCTCATGCATGGTTCAATGTTGCTAGCCTCAAAGCGAGCATAGAAAATATTTAGCTCGTCTGGTAGGCTCGCGTCACTGGACAGCTCGCGGCTGGGTTTCCCTTTGTAGTCCGTAATAGTTTGCAATCCCTGCCACATCCAACGTGCGTCAGAGTCGGTGTAGTAAGATTCGATCTTGGTCCTTTATTGATGTTTTTTCTGTTTGATTGTTTGGAGGGCGTAGTGGGATTTCTTATAAGTGTCCGGATTAGTGTCCCGCTCCTTGATATCGGCAGCGCTAGCCTTTAGCTCAGTGCAGATGTTGCCTGTAATCCATGGCTTCTGGTTGGGATATGTATGTACGTACGGTCACTGTGGGGACAACGTCGACGATACACTTACTAAGCCGGTGACTGATGTGGTAAACTCCTCAATGCCATCGGATGATTCCCGCAACATATTCCAGTCTGTGCTAGCAAAACAGTCCTGTAGCTTAGTTCAGGCACTGAACAGCAACAGAATGGGTTTTATAAACCTTACCTCATACAACCCCGCCACTCTCACACACACACACACACACACACACACACACACATAGTTAAGAGACACCACAGGATCAGCTAATAATTACCACTCCAGCCACAGCTGTGCTGCTCTGATAACACAGCATCTCTGGCCAGCTCCTTGTGTGAGACATTCATTATTACGGCCTGATCAATATCATGCACACTGGTAGTGGCAAAGAAAGTTAAGGGTCCAATAATTGTAATTATGGTAATAACACTTCATTGAAGTCCCTTGAGTGTCAACAATATGAAGATAAAGAACTATCACTCACAGAAACTACACCTCTGAATACCAAATGACAAAACCTGAAGATTCTCAGACAAGACATTATCATGCCATGCTTCACAGGCAGATCAATGTAGTAGCCTATACTGTGTGCGTGGTATGAGGAAAATGAATGTATCTAAGTTCTTCAACCCAATGCTGGTAAGACTGAGCGCAGCACTGCAAACAAGATTTGGGTTCCAGTCGACAAACCAACCAAAGAACAGTGATTTAGCTTATCCACCCACCCCAGTCACTCTAGGCAGCTTCTAGATTGAGTGGGTACAGCTCAGAGATAATGTGTTGGTCCCATGTTTCATGAGCTGAAATAAAAGATCCCAGAAATGTTCCATACGCACAAAAAGCTTTTCTTTCAAATTTTGTGCACAAATTTGTTTACATTCCTGTTAGTGAGAATTTCTCCTTTGCCAAGATAATCCATCTACCTGACAGGTGCAGCATATCAAGAAGTATGACAGCTTGATCATTACACAGGTGCACCTTCTGCTGGGGACAATAAAAGGCCACTCTAAAATGTGCAGTTTTGTCACACAACACAATGCCACAGATGTCTCAAGTTGAGGGAGCGTGCAATTGGCATGTTGACTGCAGGAATGTCCACCAGAGCTGTTGCCAGAGAATAGAATGTTAATTTCTCTACCATAAGCCGCCTCCAACATCGTTTTAGAGATTTAGGCAGTACGTCCAACTGGCCTCACAACCGCAGACCATGTGTATGGCGTCATGTGGGTGAGCAGTTTGCTGATGTCAACGTTGTGAACAGAGTGCCCCATGATGGTGGTGGGGTTATGATATGGGCAGGCATTAGCGACGGACAACAAACACAATTGCATTTTATTGATGGCAATTTGAATGCACAGAGATACCATGACGAGATCCTGAGGCTCATTGTCCTGCCATTCATCTGCCGCCATCACCTCATGTTTCATCATGATAATGCACGGCCCCATGTCACAAGGATCTGTACACAATTCCTGGAAGCTGAAAATGTCCCAGTTCTTCCATGGCCTGCATACTCACCAGACATGTCACCCATTGAGCATGTTTGGGATGCTCTGGATCGACAGCGTGTTCCAGGTCCCAACAATATCCAGCAACATCGCACAGCCATTCCACAGGCCACAATCAACAACCTGATCAACTCTATGCAAAGGAGATGTGTCACGCCGCATGAAGCAAATGGTGGTCACATCAGATTCGGACTGGTTTTCTGATCCATGCGCCTACCATTCTTTAAGGTATTTGTGACCAACAGATGTATATCTGTATTCCCAGTCATGTGAAATCCATAGTTTAGGGACTAATGCATTTATTTCAATTGACTGATTTCCCTATATGAACTGTAACTCAGTAAAATCTTTGAAATTGTTGCATGTTGGATTTACATTTTTGTTCAGTATACTTTCACTTCAAAACCTCTCACCATCTTCTAGCTCCCAGTCTGTCATGGGGATAAATAAAGCACTGAGCTCCAGATAAAGCATCACTCTGGACTCATGGCTGCGAGTAGAGGGAGCATCATATTAGTATGCAAAGCTGTTCTTTTGAAGGGTGCCCAACGATGCTGTAAAAATAGAGAGCGCTTACTCAACCAAGTCCTGTACCTTCCACAGGTCACGATAAAATGCCTATAATGCACATGAACCTAGTTAAGCTGGAATCATGTGCATAAAATACAATTTAAAATAACTTCTGTTTATCTTCCCCTTTTTTAAGACTGTTAAAATCGGTCCTGTACTGCCAGTCCATCAAGCACTGTCTGCAAAGTGTGGAGGAGTTGCTCATCAGTGTAAATTCCACTAGTACAATACTAACCACCATTGTGATAGTGAAGTAATAAAAAGGACTAAGCCTAATTACAATAATACATCCTATGTCATCCTTATTTAACAATGTGGTATACCATTCTTGATGGATGACTTAAGTGAATTCAGAAAATAATTGCAATAGAAGCATTTGTGAATATATCAGATTTTTAATAGTTCTGTTTCAAATGATGTAGTCAGTCAAAAAACATCTGATTTCTCCTTCACCAGCTATTTTACAGCTTCTCACACACGTCAGCTTTTACCACACACACACAAAGTAAATCCACTAATCTCCATGCAGTAAAATAGTGAGTGAGTTCACTCTTTGGAGCTGGTCCAGAGGGTTCTGATTCAATGACTCAAAAGTTTAAATATCAAATTCTTTTTTCCAAAGAGACACTAGGTAAAACAGAATGGTAAAATTGAGTTGTTCTGATTTTCTTTATACAAAATACTTCATGATGTGTGCTACCTATACAGTTAATTTCCTATACAGGTAAAGTATAGAACATACAGGTGGTTTGAAGCCTCTTTATGACAGGTGGCAGAGGTACTTGACCAGCTAAGAGGGGAGGAGAAGGCAACAAACTGGCAGAGCCCAAGCAACACTGATTGACAGAGCACAAAGCAGAAACAACATCCCCAAACAGCTGTGGCCCTCGCTAGCCTGCCCAGAGTAAAAATCAAATTACACAACAAACAAAGCCAGGAATAGATAATGGAATGATTAAGGAGGAGAGGAAAGGCACGAGGCATTTGGGAGAGAGAGGTTTGTATGTAGTAGTGATACGTATGATGTTGCACCAACCCTCAGAAATAACATAGCACACATGCACCCCAACACACAAATACATGCACACACGGGGGGAAGAGAGAGAGAGAGAGAGAAAGAGAGAGAGAGAAACAGCAGAGGTTCAGAACAACATCAAAAAAGCCAACCCCAATGGGCACACCAAGGGCATGAGCCAACAACAAACTAAACACACATGGAACATTTATTGTCTCTTACTAGCTGGGACATCACATTCCCTTTCAAACAAAAAGGAGGAACGTGTCAGAGAGTGTGTGTGTGGAGACATTGAGAGGAAGGGGTGAGGTGACAGAACAGCAACACAGCAGGTGTTTCACAGCCCAGAGATGTGGAAAAACAGTCTGTACTGTCACATTTTAATGTGAAGCACTGAAAGGTATGCTGACAGTGGAGATTGAACTGCTAATTACACACACACTAAATATAGGTACTAATTTGCAGAGGCGAGAGAATCATGAAAAGAGTAGGCATCGGGGGGAGATATGGAGAAACAGTCCATCACATCACAGCCTCAGTCCCAGTCTCCTCCTCTAACAGCACGGTCTGAACACACCTCCCAGGTGTCCCACAGACTAGAGGCTCATGGGAGGAGGGTGGACTGGATCAGAGCAGCAGGGGTTGAACCATCATATAAGGGAGATCTGACTGGGTGGTGATGTCTCATTGTCATTGAAAGCAGACTAGACTTGGTGGGTTATGGGAAACACACACATCCACATAAAACCACACAGGTTGAAGGTGAAGTCACAAAAGGCCAGTCCCAACTATTGACGTGACTGAAAAAAATGTGTGGGACCATGTGGGCCAGAGACCTCAGCAGTTTTAAAAATAGAGATGGACATAGTTTGAATCAGATAAGGACTTGTAGAGTGGAGGAGGGTAATGCTTGGGTGACAGACAGAGAGAACAGACAGAAACCAGGGTCCCCAGGGAAGGCACACAGACAGCAAGGTTGGAGATTCTACAATGAAAGGGCCTTTCACAAGCCTGTAGGACAGGAATAGGAGGGTGAGTAGAGGAGAAGTTCAGGGGGGGTTGGGGGTCCAGGAGCTCCCTCCAGTCAGGGCCAGTACCCATGCCTCAGGTTGCCCCCCTACTTCAGCCCTGTGAGGGGTTCAATTCTTCAGCACTGCCTCGTAGCACTGGAACACACACTGGGACACCTCTGGGGCTCTGCACTTCAGAGAGATCTGAGGAGAGAAGAGACAGACAGACAGTTACTACAGGGTCTGGCTGGTCAAGGACATGCTAGTCTGTTTCTGTTAGCCAGGTGTTACGTGTTGAGAGGACCTATAGTCAATAAGACTAGTTCAGATATTCATCCAAAGCAAACAGTTTGACATGCTAGAGAGCAAACAACAGGTAGAAACATGTTACGCAGTCAACAATATACATGTTCTATCTAATAACTAAACCAACCAAAAACAGCTAATCATTGGATCATTTCTTCATCATCAGCAATCATCAACATCCTGGTGGAGCCACTGCTGCCCTCGTCTTTCTCTCAAGATTCAAGTGCTTTGAGATTAACTATAGTGGAGTAAACTAAAACAGTCACTTTTCCTGGTCATTATGCGACCGAACATCCTTTTAACAGCGAGAGCCTTTTCAGGGATGATGAAAGCTGTATGGATGGGATAAAGGCTAATGCGCCAGGCCACTCTTTCATACCTTCAAGAAAAGCGCCTTTTGATATGCTAGTCTAGTCAGCTAGTGCATTGCAACTGTAATGGCAGGACTTTAAGCATGGTCTGTTTAATAAGCACTGTAATAATTTCAGCAGCTTCACCTACTCATGTGGAAGAGGAGAAAGGGGTGAATCACTTACTCCCACCATTTTAGCAGAGGCATTTCATTTTATTTGCAGGGGAGAATTCATTAGCATTATAAATGCTGCCTTTTATTCCATCTTATAAGCTTGGAGCGGAAAAAGAAAAAAAAAGGTCCCTCATTCGCTCTCCCCCCATCCCCTCTTTTCTCCCACCCCTTCTGCTTGTGAAGTTTAGTGAGTGTTGCTGCAGGATCTAATACAGTTATGGGAGGCTTTTTTCATCAGAGCTCACACAGGAAAAACGAATATTCCCAGCGCAGTGTTTTGAAAGGGAGCACATGCTGGCAGTACTGTAATCAAGTGTTTGATGCAGTACTACCGTAGCTGTGTGTTTGAGGTGTCAGGGATTGTGTGGTGATCTAAAGAGTTGTCATTAAATGGCCAGAGGCATTTGAAGTCCCATCAGACAGGGGCTCAGACCAGGTCCTTCTCTGACCAATGGGACAGGAGATCACACTGATGTGCCATGGCGATGGAGGTTCCCCCAGCACTATGTTGGTACATTCCACAGCTCTGCTCTAGACCAGTGGGACCACTGCACAACTCCTCCCTCCAGGGCTGCCTCTGCGTACTGCTGGCTCTTTACTAATACATAGTGCTGCTGGTGTGATTAGTCAGAAACACACACACACACACTCTGCTGTCAGCATGGGGCTGGGCTGGAGGAAACGAGGCTATGCTGGCTGGTGTTTGGATCAGCTTATTAAGACAGCTTGTAGAAAAGCTCTGATCAGTGAGGTTACATGGTGTGTAGGCATTCTGCTTAAGGCTTTGTAAATGCTGCTGAATAATTTGCCTATTTGAGTCAATATGAGAATTAGCATTGGGAAATAGGGATTGGTAGAAACATTGCAGGTGGGTAGTGGATGGAGAACGGTTGGAGGTGTGCAGGAGAAGTAGGAAAACGTAAAGATGCTCAGATTGCTGCACCATATAAGTGGACCAGAGAGTGAGAGAAGAGTGGAGGAAGAAGAAAGGAGAGATGAAAGATGAGTAAATAGAAGGTGTGTGTATGGTGGCTGTGCCAGAGCAGCATTCTCCCACACCCCTGCAATTAGCCACTCTGCCATTGGTCATTCCATTGCCATGGGGACAGGGGACGGGAGGCTAGGGTCCTCCGCGCCACTTCAAGAAGGTAGCGCTAAGTACCTGGGACCAATTAGGTAGGGTGATGGAGGAGCCTTGGGCTGAGCAACATTAGGTTAGAGTAGACCCAGTTAGTATAGAGTTACGGTCATCATCACCATAATGATCCCAGGCATAGCTCTTAGCTTTACTGCCTTTCTAAAGGAAGCTGTGGAATCTTCCCACAGGCTGAGTAAAATCAAAAGTGTTCTTTTCTCAGGCTAAAAATAGCTGCTCAACACAAGGGTGCGTCAGGTTGACTTTCACGTATCGTACGAGGAGGGCATCAGATCCACGCAGCACAGAGAGGAGAGAGAGCATGCATGCTGCACACAGACAGATGTTAGCATCATTAGTGTTGGATACAGAGCTTCTGATGGTGACCATTTGTAAGGAGGAAGAGCCTTTTGGGCCCCAGCCCAGTGGACCGAGACAGACCAGAGGAAAGACACACAGACAGCTGGAAGAAGAGAAGGCAACTGACAGAAAGAGGGTGAATCCAGATAGTTCAGGCTGAGTGATAGACATGAAAAAAAAAAAAAATAGAAAAACTCCAAATCCTGGACAAAATGAGGAACAGCACAAATGGAGGCAGAAAAATTAAAACAGACTAAATCAAAAGGGCAAAACACACAACAAAAATTATAACAGACATGATAACAGACCAAGACAAATAACCAGGGATTGATCAAACACCTCACTTGAGTCATTTCATGTCTGACTGAAAAGCCTGGTATCTCCTGAATGAAAATAAAACACCAAAATAGACAAATCCAGAGGCTTAAACCACTGACCAATGAGTCAAGTTGGATTCCCCAATAATGAACTGTGGAGGATTTCAATAAAAAATGCTACATTTGAGACAGATGGACTAAGACAGATTGACAGACATGAACTGATTCATCTGGACTGGGGATACAAAAAGACAGTAAACAATTTCTCCTCATGAAAAACATGATGCTAAAGCACACTGACTAATGAGATGGGCTGAGGAGTCACGTCAAGGTCACTGTTATGGACTAGTCAGGCACAATGGTCTGGGCTACAGCTATTAAAACAAGTGAGCAGACAACGGTATATGACACACACATCCATCACTACAGAAACATACTCCTCAGGAGAAATAGACCTAGCATAGACTTATTGAAGAACAGAGGTGGTAATGATGACTCACCAACCATAAACATACACTCATATGTGCTCCAGTCACACTGCTAGCAATCATTATCTCCGCATCACACTTCACTTCTCCACCCTTCTTCTCATTAGTCCATGTCTTTACCCTCAACTCAAGTTCAACTCACATCTTCCTGCATCTTCCATTCTACTCTACCTTTTTTCATTCATTGTTACTCATACACCCTGTTGATCGGTTTCCTTTTCTCATCCCCATTCCCTCTGTATCAATCTCCCCTCCCTCTGCTGTCACTGAAGTTATTCGTATTCACTCCCAGTGTTCAGGAGTAGTGAACTACATATAGGCCCAATGGGAGACCAGTATGGAAAAGTATGAAAATGTATGCACTCACTACTGTAAGTTGCTCTGGATAAGAGCATGTGCTAAATTACTAAAATGTAAATGTTATGTTATTTAAATACATTTTGCAGTAGCTTGGTGGTAGTTGAACTAAATTCAAATCTTGGTAGTGTTTTCAGTAGTTAATTACTTTTTTGCTATGTAGCGGTGTAGCTCCCTACCAGAACCACACTACATTCTCTGTGCACAAAAAAATTAAATCTAGGTGAAGTATGGAAGAATTCCTTTCTTGTTTGGCATCAGACCTGCCTAATTCTCACATGAAACATAGTTTGTGTGTAATAGGCTAAATTACACATTCTGTTAACATCTGACTCCAGAGTGATCGGTTCTTGCAATTTGTAGTCTGACATTTCAGATTTAGATATGATAATTTATCACAAAGTAGTTGGATGTAGTTAACTACTTTTTTAAAGTAACTTTAGTTAAGTGAACTATATTATTCTTAAGGGTAGCTTTAGTAGCTTGGTAAAACTACAACACTACCCACTCCTCTTTTTCATAGATTTCTCTTTCCATTAGTAATGTTGTTCTCTGTCCCTCCCTTGTCCCTGTACTCACTGTGTAGTTGGGGTTTCCAGCCTGCACCTTCAGCTCAGCCAGCACCCAGATGCCGTTGGACAGTTTGATGGACATGTAGAGCATGTCCTGGCCCTCCACCGTGCGCTTGGCTATGGTGAAGATGTTACTGCCCTGCAGCTTGTTGCTGGCTGCATCTGTTTAGGGGGACAAGAGAATAGCCCTTGTCACTTCTTAGACTTGAAATATGCTTGAAATACAGTTAACATTTTAAAACTCCCAGGCAAACAATGGTTAATCTCCATCTGCATATCATCTGGAAACAGTGTTTTACATTTACATTTTAGTCATTTAGCAGACGCTCTTATCCAGAGCGACTTACAGCTAGTGAGTGCATCCATTTTTTTTTTTAACAAAGGTTGATAACTAGCCTCGGGGTGTTGGTAGGCTTGTGTTACAAGCAGTCTACTGAGGGGATCAGACTGGAGCAATATGATGGCTCCATCTAAAATGCCTCCATGTAGAGAGCTGGACCTGGACCTTAAGCCATATTACTGTTCAGCTTTAATGGGAAGGGGCTTGGGGACGGCATTGCAATCAGGACCATAATGAAACCAGGCTGCTGTCATTAATCATCGGCTCTGGGAAGGCAGGTAGTAGACCAAGGTCTGGGTCCTTTCCCTTCTCAGTTCTTACTCTTTCTATAACCGTCCTAGCTCTATTTCTCTCAGAATTGGCTCTTTCTGAAACACAATTCTCTTTTCATGGTCTGTGACTTTTACTCATCTGCAGAGAGCACAGATGAAACTTTGCCAGTCTAAGCCCTTGCTCTTGCATTCAAAATGGTAACTACATTTTCAATGACAGTGACTGTTTAAACTACCTGCATGGCAAATATATACTCCTTAATTAACTTGCCCACGGTGCGTGTGTCTCACTGTCACGCTACAGTAACGTCTCAATCATACATTTTCACCTTAAAAGGAAATTCAATCTATTCAGGGTAATATACTATAAGCCGTCATTTAGCTCATACCTGGCGGTTTTCATGTTCGTGTAAAACCAGTTTATCACATGTAAATAAGGCCAGCAGGCCATGAGTCATCTAACTAAATATATCCATTAGATACAGTGCCGTCAGAAAGTATTCACATTCCTTGACTTTTCCACATTTTGCTGTTACTGCCTGAATTTAAAATGGATTAATTTGAGATTGTGTCACTGGACAACACACACAATACCCCATGATGTCAAAGTGGAATTAGGTTTTTTGAATTTTTTACAAATCCATTAAAAATGAAAAGCTGAAATGTCTTGAGTCATTAAATATTCAACCCCTTTGTTATGGCAAGCCTAAATAAGTCACATAATAAGTCACATAAGGCACATAATAAGTTGCATGGACTCTCACTGTGTGAAATAGTGTTTAACATGATTTTTGAATGACTACCCCAACTCTGTACCCAACACATAGAATTATCTGTATGGTCCCTCAGTCGATCGCAAAGAAGGGCACCTATTGGTAGATGGGTAAAAATAAACACACATATATTGAATATCCCTTTGAGCATGGTGAAGTTATTAATTACACTTTGGATGGTGTATCAATACACCCAGTCACTACAAAAATACAGGTGTCCTTCCTAACTCAGTTGTTGGAGAGGAAGGAAAGCGCTCAGGGATTTCACCATGAGGCCAATGGTTAGAGTTTAATGGCTGTGATAGGTGAAAACTAAGGATGGATCATCAACATTGTTATTTAGATTAGTATTGTGGAGTAACAAGAATGAAAAGAAAGAAGCCTGTACAGAATTAAAAATATTCCTAAACTTGCATCCTGTAATAAGGCACTAAAGTAAAACTGCAAGAAATGTGACAAAGAAATTAACTTTATGTCCCGAGCACAAAGCGTTTGGGGCAAATCCAACACAACACATCAGAGTACCACTTCATATTTTCAAGCATGGTGGTGGCTGCATCATGTTATGGGTATGCTGGTCATCAGCAAGTACTAGGGAGTTTTTCTTTAGGATAAAATAAACGGAATAGAGCTAAGCACAGGCAAAATCCTAGAAGAAAACCTGGTTCAGTCTGCTTTCCAACAGACACTGGGAGTCAAATTCACCTTTCAGCAAAACAACCTAAAATACAAAACCAAATATACACTGGAGTTGCTTATCAAGACAACATTGAATGTTCCTGAGTGGCATAGTTACAGTTGACTTAAAATCATCTTGGAAATCTATGGTAAGACTTGAAAATGTCTGTCAAGCAATGATCAGCAACCAACTTGACAGTTCTTGAATTTAAAAAAGCATAATGGGCAAATATTGAACAATCCAGGTGTGCACAGCTCTTAGACTTACAGCTGTAATCGCTGCCAAAGATTATTTGAATATATATTGACTCAGGGGTGTGAATACTTATGTACATTATATGTTTTTGTAGTTCATTTTCAATACATTTGAAAACATCTTTAAAAACATGTGTTCACTTTGTCATTATGGGGTATTGTGAATAGATGGGTGAGAAAAAACATCTATTTAATCAATTTTGAAGTCAGGCTGTAACACAACACAATGTGGAATAAGTCAAGTGGTATGAATACTTTCTGAAGGCACTGCAGATAGAAACACGCCCTGTCAGAGCTCAAGTCTGTTTCCACAGCTCCACATCTCAGGTTACATGGCAAGCTGTCTTAACACATAAAGTAGCTGGTGCACATTCTCCTCCGCTCTCCTCTGCTCTTATCCCTCCAATGCCTTTTGTCTCGGTCTGTCTCACCTGAGTTGAGATGACAGTCTTTGATCTGGAACTGAGACTCGTTGTCGTTAGGAATGTCTTTCCATGTGGCCAGGAACACCTGTCGCTCTTGGGAGAGATACAAAGACGAGTTAAGATTGTGGGAAGGAATGGGAAGGAATGAGGAAAAAAGAAAGATGGAGAGAGAGCAGAATGTGAGGGAGACAGGACGAGAAAGCAAACGGAAATAAGAAACAAATGAAAGGTAAACAGTTTGTGGTTGTGCTGAACAGTGCCGTTCCTGCTGTGCTTTTAGGATCCGGAGCATTAGCTCCCAGCCTCCAGCAGCGTTCCTACTGCTCGCCCCATCTGGAGCCTCCACAGGGGGACAGACACCACCACATTCACCCAGATTGAGTCAACCAGAGTAGGAACAGAACAACAGGGAAAATTAAACCCAACATCACAGATGTGTGATCTGAGAGCAAATGCATGACTAGATAGTTAAGTGTGCAGAAAACACATACACAAAAGGCTCTCCTGAGATTGACGGAATGGTCAGGAGCTGCCGTCGACCTGGTTTGAGGATATTGAAAGGAGACAGCAACACGATGATTCACTGAGTAGTCTATTCAGGCACACTCACCCATCTTTCCATCTTCCACAAACAGCATGCTGATGGGGTATTGGCAGCTGAAGTAGAAGACGTCAATGTTGTTCTTCACAGCCACCTGTTAGAGAGATTACATAGAGGGGAGGGAGAGAGAGTGGAGGGAAAGGATGGAGAGATGAAGGGGCAATCAATGACTCTTTGTTTTCAAGTAGTCTGAAAGGATAGACAATGCAGGGCATGTGTGGGGTTATTGAACAAGAGAGGTTATTGTCCTGTTGATATAACACACGATAGCATCCGCTACACTCCGTATTCTACTAGACAAGGAGATGCTCTCTCCCTCCCTTTCTCGATCTGTCAGGTATGTTTGTTAAGGCAACATCTCTTATTCTTCCCTCACTTTCATCCCTTCTGTTTTCTGAGAACTGGATAATAAAGATACTATGCTACAAATTGTTTTATTTATTTGTCCTTAGACCAGATGATGCCTAAAAAGGCAATTTGACTACATCGTCATTGAAGTTTAACATAGGGTGCCATTTGGGATGCATCCTATTCCCTATATAGGGAATAGGGTGCAATTTGGGACGCACTCACAATCTACTCTAAGAACTTTGTGGAGCGGTCACCGTATCGATCGGACTGCTCTATAGAAGAGTGATGAGGACAATGAGGTCGAGTTGAGCCTGCGGAGTGGAGGGGGATGACAGGGGAAATGCTCTGAATAATTTATGTATTGGTACTCTGTGGACGGAGTGCCTGCCTGCCTGGCTGTCTGTACTGCAGTGGGATCCCTCGGTCTCCCTACGTCTCTCTCGAACCTTCACACAACTGCTGGATCATAAAAGTACATTACCTAATGGAAACACATCACTGCTGCTAAACTATTTGTGTTTGTAGCCTACAGTACCATCATACAGGTCCTGGGCCTGTATGGAACACATGTGATAGGTAAAGCACTTCCATCAGGTAAAGTGAGAAAGTGACTGTTGGCTAAATAACAGCAGGTAGTGTACAGAGAGGCCCCTGCTACTCCTCCTCCTGTAGGAATACAGCTGGCTGGGAGGAGAAGTGCTGGGGTCAGGGGAAACAGAGCAGAGCCGTGGCGTAGACTTGACCAGCAGTGTGCTCTCTCTCTCTCTCGCTCTCTCACTCACTCTCCCTTATTTTCTATTACCACCTGCACAATGATTCCATCCTTCCACCTCCCAAGTCATCGGAGGACTGCTCTGATCTAAAGAGGCCCTGTCTCTGTTGTTTCTCAACTAATAACTAAAGTTCCAGAGGCTCTCCCATGTCATATTTCATCTTTTCTATAGCACAGGAATTTAAATAACAACCTGACAGTATTTGAACATGATTTGAGGTGAAGCCAAGACAATGAGGCTGAACAAAATCAACTGTGGACTGTGTTTTATAATTAACAAGGCATATGTAAAGGCCAAAGCTGCAATCTCATGTGGTAACATTTAGTCAACCTGACAGTTACAAGAGTTTCTGCAGTAGGGTTGAATATTTTCCTGGTATTTCACAAAAATGTTCCATTCCGAGAATAAATCACTTTACTCCCGGGTAAAGAGGTATTTCCTGCCAAAACCGGAAGTGTCATTCTAAAGTATATAAACCATATAAATATGTCTGGATTTGATTAGAGCTTTGATCAGCATGAAAATTCAAGTCTGATGCTACCTGAGCCTGATGAGCCATACATTAATGTAGAGCTCCATCATGTATTTAAACATTTTATGAGCCCAAGTCCAAAAAAGCCCATATGATTGTGCTGTTATCCAATACGTAGCCTACCATACATAAGCCTACGCACGACAGAAAAACATAAAAGCACATAGTTGTAGCCATGCTCTCTTGAATGAATAAATTAAACAAGTGCCAGTAGGCTAATCTTTGACTGTGGACTGCATTACTGTACTGTATTATATGGACTGGAATTACGTATCTCGTTCAAACTGGGGGAGAACATGTGATGTGGCCTACAAAGTTACAATTATAGGCTAGTGAAATTGATTTTAAATTTGTATACAGTACCAGTCAAAAGTTTGGACACACCTACTCATTCAAGGGGTTCTTAATTTTACTATTTTCTACATTGTAGAATAATAGTGAAGACATCAAAAATATGAAATAACACATATGGAATAATGCTGTAACCAAATCAAAACATTTTTTGAGCCACCCTTTGCCTTGATGACAGCTTTGCACGCTCTTGGCATTCTCTCACCCAGCTTCATGAGGTAGTCACCTGGAATGCATTTCAATTAACAGGTGTGCCTGGTTCAAAGTTAATTTGTGGAATTTCTTTCCTTCTTAATGCGTTTGAGCCAATCAGTTGTGTTGTGACAAGGTAGGGGTGGTATACAGAAAATAGCCTTATTTGGTAAAAGACCAAGTCCATATTATGGCAAGAACATCTCAAATAAGCAAAGAGAAAAGACAGTCCATCATTACTTTAAGACATGAAGATCAGTTGCAGCTCAAATAAATGCTTCACAGAGTTCAAGTAACAGACATATCTCAACATCAACTGTTCAGAGCAGACTGCGTGAATCAGGCCTTCATGGTCAAATTGCTGCAAAGAAACCACTACTAAAGGACACCAATAATAAGAAGAGACTTACTTGGGCCAAGAAACACGAGCAATGGACATTAGACTGGTGGAAATATGTCCTTTGGTCTGACGAGTCCAAATTGGAGATTTTTGGTTCCAACCTCTGTGTCTTTGTGAGATGCAGAGTAGTTCAACGGATTATCTCTGCATGTGTAGTTCCCACCGTGAAGCATGGAGGAGGCGGCGTGATGGTGTGGGGGTGCTTTGCTGGTGACACTGATTTATTTAGAAATCAAGGCACACTTAACCAGCATGGCTACCACAGCATTCTGCAGCGATATGTCATCCCATCTGGTTTGCAGTTAATGGGACTATCATTTGGAGTACTGGAGTGAGTTTTTGGAGTGATGGAGTACTGCATCAGATGACCTGGCCTCCACAATCACCTGACTTCAACCCAATTGAGATGGTTTAGGATGAGTTGGACCACAGAGTAAAGAAAAAGCAGCCAACAAGTGCTCAGCATGTGGGAACTCCTTCAAGACTGCTGGAAAAACATTCCTCATGAAGCTGGTTGAGAGAATGCCAAGAGTGTGCAAAGCTGTCAAAGACAAAATGGTGGCTATTTGAAGAACCTCAAATATAAAAAGAAATGGTTTGGTTACTACATTATTCCATGTGTGTTATTTCATAGTTTTGATGTCTTCACTATTATTCTACAATGTAGAAAATAGTAAAAATAAAGAAAAACCCTTGAATGAGTAGGTGTCCAAACTTTTGACTGGTACTGTAATTAGTAGGTTGAAGCATATATAGGTATACCTTTCATAATATTTCCTCTAATGTGGTGCGAGGTGTGTATTATAGCCACCTCTTTCTCTCTCCGTTCCTTGCTTCCTTCATCGCTTTCAACAGTTAAAAGGTACAGTTTAAGTCGGAAGTTTACATACACCTTAGCCAAATACATTTACTCAGTTTTTCACAGTTCCTGACATTTAATCCTAGTAAAAATGCCCTGTTTTAGGTCAGTTAGGATCACCACTTTATTTTAAGAAATGTGAAATGTCAGAATTATAGAGAGAATGATTTCTTTAAGCTTTTTGTTTCTTTCATCACATTCCCAGTGGGTCAGACGTTTACATACACTCAATTAGTATTTGGTAGCATTGCCTTTAAAATTGCACAGCATGATGCTGCCACCCCCGTGCTTCACGGTTGGGATGGTGTTCTTCGGCTTGCAAGCATCCCCTTTTTTCCTCCAAACATAATGATGGTCATTATGGCCAAACAGTTCTATTTTTGTTTCATCAGACCAGAGGACATTTCTCCAAAAAGTACGATCTTTGTCCCCATGTGCAGTTGCAAACTGTAGTCTGGCTTTTTTATGGCTGTTTTGGAGAAGTGGCTTCTTCCTTGCTGAGCGGCCTTTCAGCTTATGTCGATATAGGACTCGTTTTACTGTGGATATAGATACTTTTGTACCGGTTTCCTCCAGCATCTTCACAAGGTCCTTTGCTGTTGTTCTGGGATTGATTTGACATTTTTTTTGTCATTTAGCAGACGCTCTTATCCAGAGCGACTTACAATTAGTGAGCGCATACATTTTTCATACTGGCTAATCGAACCCACTTTTCGCACCAAAGTACGTTCATCTCCAGGAGACAGAACGTGTCTCCTTCCTGAGAAGTATGATGGCTGCGTGGTCCCATGGTGTTTATACTTGCGTACTATTGTTTGTACAGATGAACGTGGTACCTTCCGGCGTTTGGAAATTGCTCCCAAGGATGAACCAGACTTGTGGAGGTCTACAATTTTTTTTTCTGAGGTCTTGGCTGATTTCTTTTGATTTTCCCATGATGTCAAGCAGAGGCACTGATTTTGAAGGTTGGCCTTGAAATACATCCACAGGTACACCTCCAATTGACATCATTTGAGTCAATTAGCTTATCAGAAGCTTCTAAAGCCATGACATCATTTTCTGGAATTTTCCAAGCTGTTTAAAGGCACAGTCAACTTCTGAACCACTGGAATTGTGATAGTGAATTATAAGTAAAATAATATGTCTGTAAACAATTGTTGGAAAATTACTTGTGTCATGCACAAAGTAAAGTAGATGTCCTAACAGACTTGCCAAAACTATAGTTTGTTAACAAGAAATTTGTGGAATGGTTGAAAAACAAGTTTTAATGACTCCAACCTAAGTGTATGTAAACTTCCGACTTAAACTGTACATACATTTAATTGTCCTTATCTTCATCATTGTAATGACATCCTTGAATAATATAGGACTAGAATAAGATGCAGTCGGGTATCACTTCACGAAGATTGAATGGTTATATGGGTCTGAATTAGGGCTGACCCCATTTCATCGACTGGTTGATTGTTTGGGTCGATTGGCTGTTGGTCGACGAGATTTCTTTAGTCGAGCAGTAGCAAAAAATAAATACAAAAATCACGGTGTACAAGACACCCATCTGATTAACGCCTGTCTTAGTGGACTGATCCACTGTGGAGGTGGTGGGGATGGCACAGTCCATCAGTCTAAGACAATTGCTACTGAAATTCTATATGGTCATATTATGTAAGAACAATGCTGCAACACAAATAAATAATTTTATACCAAATGCGCTTTCTCCTGGGTTGGATAGTGGTCGCTGTCCGCGGTTCTGAAACAGATCAGTGTGCTGTTGAATTGGTGCCTTTTCCTAGACCATGTTGCTTTGTGCATAATAGCAAAGTTAACCAGCATATTGGTGTTGAGAACAATGCAGCGGAGGCAGCAGCAGAGTTAGGAGACAAGAAAACAGACATTGCCTTAATTGTCTAAGAAAAGTGAGGAGAGGAGAACCCAACTTAATTAGGTCTATAATCAATAGCTTAATTGATAAATGTGCCTGGCTTTAGAAATCACCATATCTACAGAAATAAGACAGATCCTGCTTCGGTTTGAGTGTTTAATAGCCTACTGATTCCGTGAGCACGAAGCCTCAGCCAACCACAACATGTCGGATAAACAATTTCACAAATTCAGCTGTTTCTAAATCTTTGCTATTCTGTAATAAAGGCTTTACACTTTTTTTCGTTAGACCAGCCTCTCTGGTATTATTTATAATTTATTTAGTGTTGTTTACACTGTTCCAAATTGTCAATAAAAAAAAAAAAAGTATAATAACCCTCCCTTGTCCGCCTTGTTATCATTATGATCATCATTACAAAACACTGAACAAAAATATAAAACGCAACATGTAAAGTGCTGTTTTATGATCTGAAAAAAAGATCCCAGAAATGTACCATAAGCACAAAAATAGTATTTATCTCAAATGTTTTGCACAAATTTGTTTACATCCCTGTTAGTGAGAATTGTATCCTTTGTCAAGATAATCCATCCACCTGACAGGTGTGGCATATCAAGAAGCTGATTAAACAGCATGAACAGTACACAGGTGCAGCTTGTGCTGGGGACAATAAAAAAGGCCACTCAGAAACGTGCAGTTTTGTCCAGAAACACAATGCCACAGATGTCTCAAGTTGAGGGAGCATGCAGGAATGTCCACCAGAGCTGTTGCCAGATAATTTAATATTTATTTCTCTACTATAAGCCGCCTCCGTCATTTTAGAGAATTTGGCAGTACGTCCAACCAGCCTCACAACCGCAGACCACGTTTAACCACGCCAGCCCAGGACATCCACATCCGGCTTATTCACCTGCGGGATCATCTGAGATCAGCCACCCAGACAGTTGATTAAACTGAGGAGGAGTATTTCTGTATGTAATAAAGCCCTTTTGTGGGGAAAAACTCATTCTGATTGGCTGAGCATGGCTCCCCAGTGGGTTGGCCTGGCTACCAGTCGTGAAATCCATAGATTAGGGCCTAATGAATTTATTTCAATTGACTGATTTCCTTATATGAACTGTAACTCAGCAAAATCTTTGAAATTGTTGCATGTTGTGTTTACTTATTATACTGAACCAAAATAGAAATGTCATTCATTAGTAGGCTTAGTATAGCAGCCTTGTATAACCACCATCGAGCTGTAGGCCTAAGAGAGCATCCTGTTTAGTCTTAATTCCGTAACTTACTTAGGCCTATATATCAATACATATAGGCTACTGTACCAATCAATCATTTATTTGTTCATGTCATCACACAGCATAGGAGTCATTCATGATTTGAAATGCAATCAAGCATTTCAGTTTTAAAATAAAGCAACCATTGAATAATTTGCGTGAACAATAAATAGGCCTAAACCGTTCCATTTCAGAAATTGCATTCACTAATGAATGCGACTGTTTAGTCTTTGCTGTAATAAAGGCTTTAAAAAACAACAACGTTACAACATACTCTGGTACACTTAATTTATTTAGAGTAGTTTCCAAACGGTCAGAAAACGTCTTGTAATCTAACAGCACCTGTATGGCACAGATAAACACGCAGCGCTTGCTCCTTACCTTCTTTTGATCTCCAGTATTTTCCACAACTAGTCAAATTTATTCCACACATCTGACTTCCCCTTTACCTCCTGAGCAACCAGTAAACATTCCCCTGTTTCAAGTTTGTCACATCCTCTGCATCCATTTTGCTGTCAGGTGTTAAGGTGTTCAGAGTTATTTATTTATTGATGTGATTATGATATGCTATAGGTCAGGCCCCATCGGTCACGTGCATGCGATGCATACATGTGTCACGTAAAGAGAGCAAGGGTTGAGGGAATAGGGAATGTTTTTCCTGAACAAATTAGGGATTTCGGTAACACAACTTTCAGTCAGAAATGGTTGTAATTATGTTGCAGATTCAGCAACACAGACAGCGCGATACACACTGTTGATGTTCTGTGGTGGTCGCTGCAGCAGGGAGGAGAGGGACAACGTGTGCTATTCACACAGTCATTCACAGTTTTTTTTTAACACAGCGCAGCAAGTCTGAGCCAGGCCCAGCACAATCAAATAAATTGTGGTTAGACTCCCTCTAGCCATTTGTGTGTCTTAATTATTTCATCAAACAGTTCACTTAAAGCATCAGACAAGCTCAGTGCATATAGTTGATTTGATTAAAAAAAAACATATAGGATGTGTCTATATGGAAAAATACAAGTTTAAACATTGACCAATCGATTGGCCGAAATATCAGACGACTCTTGGTCGACGTCGGGGACAGCCCCAGTCTGAATAATTAACTGCTATAGCCTACCGCCATCGCACGTTCTCTTCTTTAAAGTTCTATTGGCTGATGTATTTAACATTCAGCAAACAAGAGCTTGCATCCCTCTTTGAATAGTCTATTAGTATAAGAAATGCTAAAAATAAAAATGTCCAGCAAGCTATTCTAGTATAGCTTTTCCTGGGACTCCAAGAGCTAAGTAGCGTTTTTTTAAGTAGACAGGGCAACAGAGCGGAGGTGCGTATTGCGCAAGAGTCAGAGGCTATAATTTAGAAGCTTATGCATAACCCATCATTCACTAGCTAAATTTAAGGCTAATAATGCATTGAATGTATTACCTGAAAGAGGTAGGCCAGGACATCTATATATACACAGGGAGTGTACAAAACATTAGTAACACCTTCCTAATATTAAGTTGTACCCCCTTTTGCCCTCAGAACAGCCTCAATTCGTCAGGGCATGGACTCTACAAGCGTTCCACAGGGATGATGGACCATGTTGACTCAAATGCTTCCCACAGTTATGTCAAGTTGGCTGGATGTCCTTTGGGTGGTAGACCATTCTTGATACACAAGGGAAACTGTTAAGTATGAAAAACCCAGCAGCGTTGCAGTTTTTTACACACTCAGACCGGTGCACCTGGCACCTACTACCATACCCTGTTCAAAGGCACTTAAATATTTTGTCTTGCCCATTCAACCTCTGAATGGCACACATACACATTCCATCTCAAGGCTTAAAAATCCTTCTTTAACCTGTCTCCTCCCCTTCATCTACACTGATTGAAGTGGATTTAACAAGTGACATCAATAAGAGATCATAGCTTTCATCTGGATTCACCTGGTCAGTCTATAGCCCTATTTGGACGGGATAGGTTTTACTGGGGGAGCTCAGGTAATGTAATTATGTGCATGAGCACAAATCACCACATCCGTAATTTTAGTCCCGTCCGAATCTTCCATGTCAGTAATTCTTACTTGGCAGGAAGGTTATTATCCCATATATATCCTGTGCGAATCGTCATCCCTGTGTTTTGAAGGATATTACAGAGTTTAAAACAGGTGCTGCACCCAGTTTGGGTAAGAACATGGGAACAAATTTATGCTTAAAACAAAAGTGCTATGCACATAGCCTACAAATGGATCTGTTTTGTCACATATCAACTTTCCAAGTGCCCATTTCTCTTTCGCCAAATACGTCAGTTAATTCAATGTGTGCAGGTTACAGTTCATGGTTGTTATTGATATGCATTATTATTTTGACTTTCTCAGAACTGAAGGCCATTAGGACAATATTAGACTATCCCTAGACATTTAAAACATCTTCACGCCTAGAAGAGCCTCCAGGCTTCCGTCATAATCGTCCATTTTGAATGAGGAAAACAAATAATTACTAGGGCAGTTTGGTAAAGCTAACCCCATCCGAATCGTCCACTGGAAAAACGGACATGCTGGGGTAGTAATTACATCACCTACGTTCTATAGTAATACTAGTCCCGTGTGAATAGGGCTTTAGTCATGGAAAGAGCAGGATGTTTTGTACACTCAGTGCATCTCAATCTTGACCAGGATTAGGCCAATCTAATTTGAATGGAATTGATGGAGACAGAAAGACTGCGAGAGAGTGCTTGCGTGCGCGCTGATTTAAAGCAACGATATTCGAGTGATAGGCTCGTTTTAAAACTCTTTACAATGAAAGAATAAAGGTGACCCCTGAAAGCCAGATGAAGACGTGTAAATTACACACGCATTCAGTCATTATATTATTGTAGCATAGGCTATGCTGCAGCAAATGTAGTCCTACCTTTCAGAAGAACAAAAGTTACCATGAACTGCACTCACCATGAGCATCGATGATTGATCATGCAGATAGCAGAGAGTAGGCCGTTGAGAAGCCAGATTTAGACATCACATATAATTTAACAGTGCCATTTCACATCATGCTGTTCATCTAAATAATTTATTATAATTTACAGGTTTCTTGCAGTTATTTATCCCAGGAAAAGGGAGTGGGTTTGGGTGGGATATCTCGGTAACCCGGTTCCCGCTATTCAACCCTAGTCGGCAGCAACCTAGTCTCCTGAAACATCCTGTACAACTAACGTTGTGGGAAAGTTACCTGCAGGTTGTTGAGAGGGTCCATCTTCATGACTGGCCCGACAGTGCTGAGGGGGAGGCTGACTTCAATGGTCTGGTTTGGGCCGAGAGGGGTGAGGACCTGGAGAGGGCCGGCAGGGGCCAGTCCAAAACTAGAGAGAGAAGAGTCCCAGTCAGAACTAGAAAAAAAAAAATCACATTCACACCAGAGATGGTTTCCTTATGACAGTCATATAGACTGTGACTGATGTTCCTCTCACCTGTTCCTGTTGAATTGGATGGCGAAGTCAGTCATGACGCTCATGGCCTTGTTGGTGAGGACCAGCTCCATCTGGATGACTCCAGCACGCCGGGCGAAGGTCCCAGAGATCTCCAGACCTTTAGCCTTCATGGCTGGGAGCCACACCTAAGGATAGAGGATACCATAAGGGGAATGTCTCTACAGCTTGTAATAAATAATAATAATATATTTTATTTGTCAGACACCTTTCAAGGCACCCAATTAAATCTCACATTAACAGTAGACCTACATAAAATCAGGAGCAGTATATTAGATCATAAAATCAAGTGCATCAAAGTGCAATTTTACATCAAAGGACAACACGAAACAGGACAGGTAAAAAGAGGAGGGAACGGTTGGGTAGAGGATACGAACATGGTTTAGGGTAAGGTTTAGGTTGGGTGGGACACAAAGGGATACTGGGAGGGCACAGAAGGGGGTAGGACAGAGTCAATCATAGACCATAGGCATCCTTGAAGAGGTGTGTTTTCAGGAGGTTATTTAATGAGATGACTGTATCTGCATGTATGTATGTATGTATGTATGTATGTATGTATGTATGTATGTATGTATGTATGGGGGGAGTGCATTCCAGAGCCTGGGTGCCGAGCAACTGAAGGCCCGGGCAGGCGAGGAGGAGTGTCTTCAGCATGATCATCTAGGAACATACAGTCCATTCGGAAAGTATTCAGACTCGTAGATTTTTTCCACATTTTGTTACATTACAGCCTTATTCTAAAATTGATTAAATAGTTTTTTCCCCCCCTCAATCTACACACAATACCCCATAACGACAAGCAAAAACAGGTTAAGAATTTTTAGCAAATGTATCTTTTTTATACTGAAATATCACATTTACATACAGTACCAGTCAAAAGTTTGGACACACCTACTCATTCAAGGGTTTTTCTATATTTTTACTATTTTCTATGAAATAACACATGGAATCATGTTGTAACCAAAAAGTGTTTAACAAATCCAAATATATATTATATTTGAGATTCTTCAAAGTAGCCACCCTTTGCCTTGATGACAGCTTTGCACACTCTTGGCATTCTCTCAACCAGCTTCATGACGTAGTCACCTGGAATGCATTTCAATTAACAGGTGTGCCTTCTTAAAAGTTAATTTGTGGAATTTCTTTCCTTCTTAATGCGTTTGAGCCAATCAGTTGTGTTGTGACAAGGTAGGGGTGGTATACAGAAGATAGTCCTATTTGGCAAAAGACCAAGTCCATATTATGGCAAGAACAGCTCAAATAAGCAAAGAGAAACGACAGTCCATCATTACTTTAAGACATGAAGATCAGTCAATACGGAACATTCCAAGAACTTTGAAAGTTTCTTCAAGTGCAGTCGCAAAAACCATCAAGCGCTGATGATGAAACTGGCTCTCATGAGGACCACCACAGGAAAGGAAGACCCAGAGTTACCTCTGCTGCAGAGGATAATTTCATTAGAGTTACCAGCCTCAGAAATTGCAGCCCAAATAAATGCTTCAGAGTTCAAGAACAGACATCTCAACATCAACTGTTCAGAGGAGACTGCGTGAATCAGGCCTTCATGGTCGAATTGCTGCAAAGAAACCACTACTAAAGGACACCAATAATAAGAAGAGACTTGCTTGGGCCAAGAAACACGAGCAATGGACATTAGACCAGTGGAAATCTGTCCTTGGTCTGATGAGTCCAAATTTGAGATTTTTGGTTCCATCCGCCGTGTCTTTGTGAGACACAGAGAAGGTAAATGGATGTTCTCCGCATGTGTGCATTCTGCAGCGATACGCCATCCCATCTGGTTTGTGCTTAGTGGGACTATAATTTGTTTTTCAACAGGACAAATGACCCAACACACGTCCAGTCTGTGTAAGGGCTATTTGACCAAGAAGGAGAGTGATGAGTGCTGCATCAGACCCCTATACTCAGTACTTGTTGAAGCACCTTTGGCAGCGATTACAGCCTCAAGTCTTCTTGGGTATGACGCTACAAGCTTGGCACACCTGTATTTGGGGAGTTTCTCTCATTCTTCTCTGCAGATCCTCTCAAGCTCTGTCAGGTTGGATGGGGAGCATCGCTGCACAGCTATTTTCAGGTCCCTCCAGAGATGTTCGATAGGGTTCAAGTCCGGGCTCTCGCTGGGCCACACAAGGACATTCAGAGACTTGTCCCAAAGCCACTCCTGCGATGTCTTGGCTGTGTGCTTAGGGTCGTTGTCCTGTTAGAAGTTGGGGGATGGTGCCAGGTTTCCTCCAGATGTGACACTTGGCATTCAGGCCAAAGAGTTCAATCTTAGTTTCATCAGACCAGAGAATTTTGTTTATCATGGTCTGAGAGTACTTTAGGTGCCTTTTGGCAAACTCCAAGCGGGCTGTCATGTACCTTTTACTGAGGAGTGGCTTCCGTCTGGCCACTTCCCTGACCAAGGCCCTTCTATCCCGATTGCTCAGTTTGGCCGGGCAGCCAGCTCTAGGAAGAGTCTTGGTGGGTCCAAACATCTTCCATTTAAGAATGATGGAGGCCACTGTGTTCTTGGGGACCTTCAATGCTACATACATGTTTTGGTACCCTTCCCCAGATCTGTGCCTCGACACAATCCTGTCTCGGAGCTCTACGGACAATTCCTTCGACCTCATGGCTTGGTTTTTGCTCTGACATGCACTGTCAACTGTGGGACCTTATATAGACAGGTCTGTGCCTTTCCAAATCATGTCCAAACAACTGAATTCCCCACAGGTGGACTCCAATCAAGTTGTAGAAACATCTCAAGGATGATCCATGGAAACAGGATGCACCGGAGATCAATTGAGTCTCACAGCAAAGGGTCTGAATACTTACAGTGAGGGAACTAAGTATTTGACCCCCTCTCAATCAGAAAGATTTCTGGCTCCCAGGTGTCTTTTATACAGGTAACGAGCTGAGATTAGGAGCACACTCTTAAAGGGAGTGCTCCTAATCTCAGCTTGTTACCTGTATAAAAGACACCTGTCCACAGAAGCAATCAATCAGATTCCAAACTCTCCACCATGGCCAAGACCAAAGAGCTCTCCAAGGATGTCAGGGACAAGATTGTAGACCTACACAAGGCTGGAATGGGCTACAAGACCATCGCCAAGCAGCTTGGTGAGAAGGTGACAACAGTTGGTGCGATTATTCGCAAATGGAAGAAACACAAAATAACTGTCAATCTCCCTCGGCCTGGGGCTCCATGCAAGATCTCACCTCGTGGAGTTGCAATGATCATGAGAACAGTGAGGAATCAGCCCAGAACTACGCGGGAGGATCTTGTCAATGATCTCAAGGCAGCTGGGACAATAGTTACCAAGAAAACAATTGGTAACACACTACGCCATGAAGGACTGAAATCCTGCAGCGCCCGCAAGGTCCCCCTGCTCAAGAAATCACATATACAGGCCCGTCTGAAGTTTGCCAATGAACATCTGAATGATTCAGAGGAGAACTGGGTGAAAGTGTTGTGGTCAGATGAGACCAAAATGGAGCTCTTTGGCATCAACTCAACATGTTTGGAGGAGGAGGAATGCTGCCTATGACCCCAAGAACACCATACACACCGTCAAACATGGAGGTGGAAACATTATGCTTTGGGGGCGTTTTTCTGCTAAGGGGACAGGACAACTTCACCGCATCAAAGGGACGATGGACGGGGCCATGTACCGTCAAATCTTGGGTGAGAACCTCCTTCCCTCAGCCAGGGCATTGAAAATGGGTCGTGGATGGGTATTCCAGCATGACAATGACCCAAAACACACGGCCAAGGCAACAAAGGAGTGGCTCAAGAAGAAGCACATTAAGGTCCTGGAGTGGCCTAGCCAGTCTCCAGACCTTAATCCCATAGAAAATCTGTGGAGGGAGCTGAAGGTTCGAGTTGCCAAACGTCAGCCTCGAAACCTTAATGACTTGGAGAAGATCTGCAAAGAGGAGTGGGACAAAATCCCTCCTGAGATGTGTGCAAACCTGGTGGCCAACTACAAGAAACGTCTGACCTCTGATTGCCAACAAGGGTTTTGCCACCAAGTACTAAGTCACGTTTTGCAGAGGGGTCAAATACTTATTTCCCTCATTAAAATGCAAATCAATTGATAACATTTTTGACATGTGTTTTTCTGGATTTTGTTGTTGTTATTCTGTATCTCACTGTTCAAATAAACCTACCATTAAAATTATAGACTGATCATGTCTGTCAGTGGGCAAACGTACAAAATCAGCAGGGGATCAAATACTTTTTTCCCCTCACTGTATGTAAATAAGGTATTTCTGTTTTTTTCGCTTTGTCATTATGGGGCATTGTGTGTAGATTGATGAGGAAAAAATAATAATTTAATCAATTTTAGAATAAGGCTGTAACATAACAAAATAGTATCAATATTATATTAAGTGTACTACCATAGTCTATGGAGACTCACTGTCTTGGGAGGAATGTATGCTCCCATCGGCATGCCAACCCCACCTCCGAGGTCAAACAGATCTCCTAGGCCGCCTCCCACAGGGGCGTTTAGAGAGGCTGGCATCACAGCGGGAGCCACGCCAAAACCAGCCCCCATCTTTGGATGAGAGACCATGTTAAACAAGAACTGAACATCCAAAAACTGCACTGAAATATTATTTTTCAAAACAAATGTTTAAACAACCAGGCAACCGGTAAAGCTTACCGCAGGACTCCCAACAATATCTCCTCCAAGCTGAGGGAAGAAAGAGAGGAGTTCAGTTTATACATTATTAGAATGTTACACCTTATTTCCAGCAGGTTGAGTGAGATGCTAGAGGAAGACTGAGGAAGGGAGGTGGGTGTGTGTGTGATGAGGGGTTGCTAAGATAACCATGTTCCATGACATATGAAAAGCATGGTTTAGACTGGGGAAGGTGAGATCATAGACAATATAACAGTCTTCTATATCTATGATGAGAGCTACTGGAGGGTGATGGAGGTCGAAGAGCGCAGGATGAGCGTCATGTTTTCAGGTTCATTCAGATACCTCCAAAACTGTAAATGCCAACTGTTTGCCAGCACAGTGGTCAGTTAGGTGGTTACACAGAGAATTCGGTATTGGAATACATCATACTAAAAAACATTTCATGAAGAGATCAGTGCAAATGAATACAGAATACAGCTAGCTAGCTACACAGTAAGTAAGGGCTTTTGGAACAACAAACAACAAGAGGACCTACAAAGGTCTGAGGCCTGAAATAAACCTAGAAGGAACTAAAGAAACATGTCGAGACGATGTGAAACATCTCTGATCTAGTACAACAGACAGTGACACTGCAGCTAGAGATGATGAGGTCACAGTAGAGCACAGGGTACCATAGGGGGACTCTAGTCTAGTCTGTTTAAGAGCCTCTACTGATGCCCCTCAACCAACCTCAGCAGGGGGGCTGTATTCAGTAGAGCTGTGGTCAGGGGGGCTGTCAGTGTGACTGTAGTCAGTGTAGGTGTAGTCAGTGTGGGTGTACACTGGCGACGGGGGCTGAGGTGACGGAGACTGTGGAGTGTCCGTCCGTGTGGGAACGTGTGGCTGGTGGGAGGATGAATACAGTAGGGTTGTCATGTTAGATGTATTCATTGACATGTAACAATCAGGATACATTAAGCACAGAGAAAGAATATTGAAGAGGTGAACACAGCACACAGTTTGATAGTATATACACTTGCAGATACAGCAATGATAGTGCGTTACTACTAGGCTTGGGTGGTATACTGTATCCCGGGGTATTTGGAAAAGTCATAGGATATTTTTTCATTAGTGTCAAGTTTTTTCCAATCAATTTTAATATTTGTAGCTACGTTTTATGTTGTTACCTGCAGTCAACTTGTGCAATACCTTAGGAGATAAAGCAGATTGCGTTTTTCATTTCACCTTTCACCTTATTTTAAATGATGAAGCTTACCGTAGTTCCCCAGAACATTTGAGCCAGTCACGTGTTTATTTGTAAATGGCATAACGGGAGAAAGGGAGCTGGTGAGTCCATAGCGTTCTATATCTGTCGGCCAGTCTCTGTTGTGCGACGCACATGAGGTGATGAAGTTACACTTGTATGCAATTCACTACTAAATGTTTGCCATCAGTTATCTTATAATGGCTTTCTGCCAGAAGTCAAAGAGCTCTGGATGAGTTCTGTACAGCTGCCATATTTTCCCTGTGCTTCCTACCAGCGTTTTTTCTCTCTGCCGTTCTTCTCCCATCTGCTCAGTGTATACATGCTGCTCTTCCTTCAGAAAAGCATGATTCACAACTTCGTTAATTTGCACAATTTCTCTCGTTCACTTGTAAATGTCCACACTCACCAAAATGAAATTCTGTAGCTAATAGCTATGCGTGTATAACTTTATGTTCTGGATTTGCGTGTCTTTGCAATCAGTTTGTTCGTTTTTGCTCGGTAGCATTTAGGTAACAGCATCTATGTGATTTCACTATTAGTTTGTGCAAATGTTGTTAGCATTCTGTAACAGACACCCAATGGGCTTTTCTTGCGTTTTTAGCGCTCCCTTGTGTGCTCTGCCGGTACTACCGTAAATCCCAGTATGAGAGAAGGATGGTATGACAATATGAAAATCTGGATACTGCCTAAGCCTAGCTATTACATCTAACTAATGATGATGTGATGTGATACTCTATAGCTATGCCCTCTCCCTCCATGTACTTTAGTTACCGGTTCAGACTCGTCCATCTGCAGGTGTTGCATAAAAGAGAGGAAAACACTCAAGTCAAAAAGAAAGAAGAAAATGACTGTTTGCAGAGACCATTTGACCCAGACAATGTTCACTGGTTGACCAGGGGTAGCAGCACAGCAGCCTACAGTGAGGTACCTACCAGGCTGTCCAGACCTCCACCCAGGAAATCCATGCCCCCCATCTGCATGCCGGAGGTGGTGGGTGGGGGGACAGTGTTGGTGGAGGGTGCCAGGTCAAGGTTGAGCAGGTCCCCCAAGAGGTCCCCCTGGGAGGGGATGATTGAGGGAGCAGCCTCAGGGGCAGAGCCCGCAGCAGCATTGACCACGTCTGGGCTCTCCGTACCCTCTCCTCTGGGAGATGGAGAGACAAGGACAGAGGGAGTTAGAAACAACTGCTAAGATTCACCACAATAAAAGGGGCATTTAAGAACTTCACTTGTTTAACCTGGTTTGAATTCCTAAACGCAATGTTTTGTGCTAAAATGTTAAATATAAGCCTAGTCCCAGCCTAGCTAAATTATCTGGAACTCTTGATTCAATAAACCAACAAGCCAACCCTGCTTAAAATTGGTCCTAAAGTTATTTGAGGGAACACCACTGGCACCTCTTAAATGCAATGAAAATAACAACAATTAAATGGCATTAAGATGTAATTTAATCAGCTCTGTGCAATGTGTTGCACTTCATGTCTGCTGGGAACACAGCCTCGTGAGATCTGTCTCTGACTCATCGAACGTGGCTTAAGCCAGTATACAGTAAGGTATGCTTTACACAAAGTAAAGACTGGGTTTACTCTAGATAATAAATAGGAATTATTTAGGCGTAAATACCACTATTTAGGGGAATTACTCCGGCACAAATAAGGTGTTTAGTCAGGGAAACTGAAGTGGGCCCTATGAGTGAGTGTGTATGAGTGACTCACGATCCAGTGCGGGCGGGGAGCCTCTTGTGCATCACGCCGCGGCTGCCCTCCACGAAGGCGCTGGGAGGCTTGTGGTAGACGGACGCCAGCGTGCCGATGTGGCAGATGAGCTCCTCCAGCAGGGTGGGTTCAATCAGGTCCGTCTCCTCCGAGATCAGAGGCTTCTCGGCCAGCACCACCTCCTTGGCAGCCACAGGGTCAGTGGAGAGCAGACGCCAGTAGATGTAGCCACGGTCTCGCAGGTCCGGGTTGTCAGAGTCCTGCACACAAGAGATTGAGAGGATGACTGATGTTGTGCATAATAAATACTAACTGCGTCACAGCCTCCACTCTCTGCCTCTCAGTCTGTTCTTCTCACTTATGTCATGTCAGATACTAAGCAAATAAGAGTTAGGTTAGGTTCAGTTCCCTGAGTGGTATAGCTAGAATAATCTACTCAGTCAATAATAGGACAATCCTAGTGAAGATTTGAACAGTGTCAGCAAGGCTTAGAAGTAAGACACGAGGAACAAGGACATAAAAACAAGAACATTGGGAATATATTTAATATGTTTGGTCCTGGCAGCTTCCTGGCAGTGTTGAAACTCCCCTGGCACTAAGCTCCAAAGTTAATGACAACTCCCACAGTCTGAGGAGAGTCTGTGGAGGGTGATTAACTCCACATAAAACACTGCAAAACAGACACACTAATAACACCCAATATATAAAAACGGGTCCAATACACAAATAGAGCTGTTCTTCATCTAATGCATCACTCAAACTCATGGACACTCAGTCTCAGAAATGGCAGGGTACCGTTTATGCTGACGCTATCACACTGGCTGTCAACTTGACACATTTCAATATGAGTATCCCACTTCATCAATCATGTGGCTTCAGCAGTGCTGGAATGGCTAGGCACCATCCTTAAGCAGATGCCAGGTGAATGCGTCAATTCCATTTGTGGGAGGGGGAGAAACCCAAATAAAAGTAGCTGTTTCAATAGCTTCCCAGCAGGCTGGTTATTTAAGGAGTGAATTACATCAGTGCTGGCAAAGTGACAGCCACAGGAAGCACAGTAAATAAAATGTGCCCTTGTTGTCAGGTTAGTCAAGGACATCCCATAGTAATTAGACCAATAAATACCTACAAGCATTTAGACTACCCCACCAAGATCACAGCCCACATTTAAACTGGGTTGTTCCCATCTGCCTTTGAGCAGAACACAACCTTCCCTTTTTCCTGTTGTGTTGCTTGGCATATTTAGGATAACACTTGAAGGTGTTCCAGACTTTCTGGAGACAGGGGTAGCCTAGTTGTTGAAAGACTGGACTATACATCTCCCATCTCTCCAACTTACTTCGGGGAATTCAAAGTCAAGACAATCTGGTTTCTGTTCTTCTATTGGGCAGTTGGAGTGACAACTGATATGGCCTGAAGGCCCTGGCATAAGGAGCATTAGTGTGAGACTGTGGCTGACAGGATCCCTGCTGTTGACTGTGTGTGTGTGTGTGTGTGTGTGTGTGTGTGTGTGTGTCCTGGGGCACTCACCTGTGTGGCCAGGCTCAGCACCTGCTGCACCAGCTCCTGGGTCTCGGTGGGTTTCTTCAGGAACAGCTTCACTATGGCTGTCAGCAGCTGCAGTTGCACCTGGGAACCAAGAGCAGACGAAACCAGCTATAACTCACTCATACATACTACTCACACCAACTCAGCTTTTAGCTACATACATACAGTACAGAAAAGCACTATGTACTAAACAACATTTATACAACTTACAAAACGCTTCTTACTAAAAATGAACTCTACTGTGCACACATTTGGTATGTTTGGCATGTAGCATTTTATACTGAAAAAATTACAACTCAACAGCCTGAACAAATATCTCTCGCTAACGCATCAATACTATGTCTATATCTTTACTCCTAAAATGGAGCGGAATTAATCAATTACATTTTAGTCATTTAGCAGACGCTCTTATCCAGAGCGACTTACAGTTAGTGAGTGCATACATTATTTTTTTATTTTTCATACTATTTTTCATACCCCCGTGGGAATCGAACCCACAACCCTGGCGTTGCAAAAGCCATGCTCTACCAACTGAGCTACATCCCTGCCGGCCATTCCCTCCCCTACCCTAGACGACGCTGGGCCAATTGTGCGCCGCCCCATGGGTCTCCCGGTCACGGCCGGCTACGACAGAGCCTGGATTCGAACCAGGATCTCTAGTGGCACAGCTACCTTAGACCACTGCGCCACTCGGGAGGTTATGGCTTAGCCTGTGGTTTCCAAACAGGCTGAGCTAATACCCAACCAGACTACTCTGGACTGAAGACTACTCTGTATACATGGATCCACTGAGGAGGAGGATATGGAAATGAATACCAACTGCTCCAATGAGAAAGTGTCATGTTTTTTCCATTATTATCGAGAGACTCTGGTTAGAATATTACATTTTTAGGAAACTAAGACTAGGCACTTAAATGTCTCTCCACAAGTCTTCAGTTTTTCACAAGGAGTGCCTTTAAGCGTGCCATAACCAACCAGTCAGCATCTTCACAGACCTGCTGTTGCTGCCTCTCTTGAGAGCTAAAACAACAGTTATCCTATGAGAGTACAGCGGCCCCTCTTTTTCAAAGACAGCCAGTCAAGTATAGGCCTACTCTCTCTTGCTATTGGATACTAAATGCAGTCCCCTCCAATAACTCCCAGTATGCACAGAATGGTTCCATTGAAGCCTGTTTAGAGAGTGACCAGTAAATGGCATATTGTATGCGTCCCAAATGGCACCCTATTCCCTATGTAGTGCACTACTTTGGACCAGGGCTAATAGTGCACTAGACCGTGCATTCGGAAAGTATTCAGACCCCTTCTCCACATTTTGCTACGTTACAGCCTTATTCTAAATTAAATTAATTATTTTCATCAATCTACACACAATACCACATAAATGTTTTGCAAATCTATTTTTAAAAAAACATATTCAGACCCTTTACTCAGTACTTTCTTGAAGCACCTTTCGCAGCGATTATAGCCTTGAGTCTTTTTGGGTATGACGCTACAAGCTTGGCACACCTGTATTTGGGGAGTTTCTCCCATTCTTCTCTGCAGATCCTCTCAAGCTCTGTCAGGTTGGAAAGGGAGTGTCGCTGCACAGCTATTTTCAGGTCTCTCCAGAGATGTTTGATGGGGTTCAAGTCCAGGCTCTGGCTGGGCCTCTCAGAGACTTGTCCTGAAGCAACTCCTGCATTGTCTTGGCTGTGTGCTTAGGGTCATTGTCCTGTTGGAAGGTGAACCTTCACCCCGGTCTGAGGTCCTGAGCGCTCTGGAGCAGGATTTCATCAAGGATTTCTCTGTACTTTGCTCCGTTCATCTTTCCCTCAATCCTGACTAGTCTCCCAGTCCCTGCCGCTGAAAAACATCCCCACAGCATGTAGCTGCCACCACCATGCTTCATCGTAGGGATGGTGCCAGGTTTCCTCCAGACGTGACGCTAGGCATTCAGGCCAAATAGTTCAATCTTGGTTTCATCAGACCAGAGAATCTGCTTCTCATGGTCTGAGAGTCTTTAGGTGCCTTTTGGCAAACTCCAAGCGGACTGTCATTTGCCTTTTACGGAAGAGTGGCTTCCATCTGGCCACTACCATAAAAGGCCTGATTGGTGGAGTGCTGCAGAGATAGTTGTCCTTCTGGAAGGTTCTCCCATCTCCACAGAGGAACTCTGGAGCTCTGTCAGAGTGACCATTGGGTTATTGGTCACCTCCCTGACTAAGGCCCTTCTCCCCTGAATGCTCAGTTTGGCCGGGTGGTACCCTTCCCCAGATCTGTACCTCGACACAATCCTGTCTCGGAGCTCTACGGACAATTCCTTCGACCTCATGGCTTGGTTTTTGCTCTGATATGCACTGTCAACTGTGGGACCTTATATAGACAGGTGTGTGCCTTTCCAAATCATGTCCAATCAATTTAATTTAACACAGGTGGACTCCAAATCAAGTTGTAGAAACATCTCAAGGATGATCAATGGAAACAGGATGCACCCGAGCTCAATTGAGTCTCATAGCAAAGGGTCTGAATACTTATGTAAATAAGGTATTGGTTTTTTATTTTTTATAAATTTGCAAACATTTCTAAAAACCTGTTGTTGCTTTGTCATTATGGAGTATGTGTGTAGATTGACGAGGGAAAAAAATAATTGCATCAATTTTAGAATAAGGCTGTAACGTAACAAACTGTGGAAAAAGTCAAGGTGTCTGAATACTTTCCGAATGCACTGTATAGGGAATGTAGTGCTATTTGGGACACAGCCCATGTGTGAGTGAGTCAGACCTGGGTGCTTTCGTCGTGGAAGCCCTCCAGGAAGCTCTCCAGCAGTTCGTCAGCGTTGTCGATCCTCTCAGCGTACTCTCCTACGATCCAGATCATGGCTGCACGCGCCTCAGGCTCATCCAGGGAGTCCAGGTTCTCACACAGCGTGGCGATCACACTCTCATACCTGGGAACAGACCACGGTTAGGAACTAATGACTCAATACCAAGTCATTGTCTACACACAGACGGAAAACTTTTTCAAATGAGAAATTGGTTTGCAGTCTTTTTTTGGTATTACCATATTTAAAATCAACATTTTATCAACTGTTGTCAGTTGTATATAAAATGTTATTGACTCTGCAGCATTCCCCTTGAGAATGGTATTTGCATAAATGCCAACACAGCATCTGAACAGGATGTGCTGGAGCAGTAATACAAGCCGAGGGCATGGCAATAGATTCTGTTCATGCTGTTGCAGAGACAAATAAACATTTGACAGCCTCGGAATCTTCACTTCACCAAATTATAGGATTTGTTATTTATTTTTGTGCCCCTGTATTTACATGACCACACATAAAATATTTTGTGGGCTCTCTTGAGAGCACAATTACTAAACGTCATGCTGGATTAACTGTTATTTTCTGCATTATTTTTTGCTGAAAAAAACTAAAAAAAGAGGGAACGCAATGTCTTTAGAATCCATTTCAATGATTCACTATCCAACACCTAAAAGGACCAAGCTAAGAGTAACCAAACAGCATGTAAACATCAATTTCTTGGCATAAATATAGGAATATACAGCAACAGCTAACAAACTTAATTACAGAGTAATGCAGGTTCAATGAGTGACTCGTGGCTGTGAGGTCATGTTCAGTAAACAGCAGTCCAGTAAGTTAAGCAGGTGCAGGGCAACACTGACTGGGCTTCAAGTGGGTAGGCGGTTTCGGTCTGTCTGTGTGGCATATGGATCCAGCTTACTGGGCCTTGATAGAGCAGGGGTCAGGCTCTGGCTGCCTGTCCTCTGCTCTGACTGGGGCTGCCTTGGCGTTGTCAGGGGCAGGGTTTCAGCGGTACGCACTGCGGACTGACACCCTGCATATCTAATGTGTGAGAGAGTTTAGAGGAGTCTTCACTCAGCCCAAAAGCTCATTTTCTTGCCTTTCACAATGACAGCCAAGCAGAAAACCCTCTGCCAGGGTAATGAGCTTTCTCCCTGCCTCTTTCAGACCAAGATGTTGCCTGGGGGGCAGTGAGCCGGAACAGACAGGCCTCCAGGGTGTGTGGGTGCAGATATGAGCGAGTCCACATGCATTAGCTTGCGCTAGTACGCTATGCTTGTGTTAAGTGACATCAGGAGAGAGCATAGGCCATTTTAACAAGCATGGCAAGCTCTGCTGAGGTGTAATACAGCCTCTATATGACTCATTGAATATCAATCTCCATCACAATTATCCATGGTTGGTTTAGTCCATCGCTATACTTCTGGTTGCCTTAAACACTAATGAGATATGGCTGTTGAGATCTGACAGACAATCCATTTTGATGGTTGGAATGGTTTACCAGTAAACATCTTGCCCACAGAAAAATAACACTACCCTATTTACATCTGTAATTGCTTCCTGGGTATGCTCCTTCACTGATTAACTAAATTGTGATAAACGCAGTGCCTCTTCCATCAAAGTCATTCATTTTGCCTTATAATTGTGAAAAGATTTGAAGATCCATTCATAGGAAAATCAAACACTAACTGGGTTATAAGGATAGCGAGCCCTATGGGCCCGGGTCAAAAGTAAGGCACTATATAGGGAATTGGGTGCCATTTGGGACACAATCACAGTGCAATAATCAGGCCTGGACCTGACGGGACAATCAACAAGTGAACAGGTGACCTACTTGTTTGGGTACTTGCGGAAGATGTCCTTGATGACCACGATGGCCTCCTGCACCACATAGTTGACCTTGGTCTGGATGAGGTCCAGCAGGGTGCTCACACAGCGCTCCGCTGATTGCTGACAGACAGGAGAGATGCTGTCAGCCAAACACAGAGCAGGCCTGAGACACTACCAAATCTGCATTATTCAGATGTTCAATATTAAAAAATGGTGACAGTAATCTGGCTTGGTTATCACAAGAATGAAAAAGCCCCAACCTTTCACAGACATATATACTGCACAGTAAAATCATGACACACATTCATGAGGCTAGCATTAAAACGCTACAGTTAACCTCTTAAGGATCGGAACCTTTTTTTCAATTTTTCCCTAAAATGACATACCCAAATCTAACTGCCTGTAGCTCAGGACCTGAAACAAGGATTTGCATATTCTTGATACCATTTGACAGCAAACACTGAAGTTTGTGGAAATGTGAAATTAAATGTAGGACAATATAACACATTAGATCTGGTAAAAGATTAAAAAACATGCTTTTCTATTTATTTATTTTGTTCCATCATCTTTGAAATGCAAGAGAAAGGCCACAATATAATATTGCAGTTTAGGCACAATTTAGATTTTGGCCGCTAGATGGCAGCAATGTGTGTGCAAAGTTTCAGATTGATCCAGTGAAGCATTGCAATACTGGACAATTTTGTCTGCCCAAATGTGCTGAATTGGTCAATTGATACATTTTCAAGTACATAACTATAGAGAACATACAAACATGATAATGCAAAATGTAAGTTTACACACTCCCAGGAATGTCATACATGATGGATCATTAGCTTATACAATAACTTTCATATATCTAGATGGCCGGGAGGGGTGGGTGTGGAGCCAGAGACAGCAGGGGTTCAAACTGTAGAACCCAGTTCCTACATTTGAATATAAAAATTGATTTGATCAAACAAAACTATGCTACATTTTATCTCTGGGACCCTTAGGATGACAAATCAGAGCAAGATTACTGAATGTAAGTACATTACTTACCTTCAGAGGTGAATGTATCAAACCAGTTGCCGTGATACGTTTTTTTGTTGTTGTGCACTCTCCTCAAACAATAGCATGGAATTTTGTCACTAATAGCTACTGTAAATTGGACAGTGCAGTTAGATTAACAAGAATTTAAGCTTTATGCCCATATAAAAGACATGTCTATGTCCTGGAAAGTTTGCTGTTACTTACAACAGTCATGCTAATTACATTAGCGCACGTTAGCTCAACCATCCCGTATACGGGACACCGATCCCGTAGAGGTTAACGTGAGGGTTTGCTGTTTAGGACTTTAAAACACTATGTACAGTGTAGTCGAAAGTATTCAGACCACTTGACTTTTTCCACATTGTTACATTACAGCCTTATTCTAAATATATATATATATTTTTATCTCAATCTACACACAATACCCCATAATGACAAAGCAAAAACAGGTTTTTAGAAATGTTTGCAAATTCATTAAAAATAAAAAATACATACCTTCTTGGGTATGACGCTACAAGCTTGGCACACCTGTATTTGGGGAGTTTCTCTCATTCTTCTCTGCAGATCCTCTCAACCTCTGTCAGGTTGGATGGGGAGCGTCGCTGCACAGCTATTTTCAGGTCTCTCCAGAGATGTTCGATTGGGTTCAAGTCCGGGCTCTGGCTGGGCCACACAAGGACATTCAGAGACTTGTCCCGGAGCCACTCCTACATTGTCTTGGCTCTGTGCTTAGGGTCGTTGTCCTGTTGGAAGGTGAACCTTCACCCCAGTCTGAGGTCCTGAGCGTTCTGGAGCGGGTTTTTAATCAAGGATCTCTCTGTACTTTGCTCCGTTCATCTTTCCCTCAATCCTGACTAGTCTCCCAGTCCCTGCCGCTAAAAAACATCCCCACAGCATGATGCTGCCACCACGCTTCACCGTAGGGATGGTGCCATGTTTCCTCCAGACGTGACGCGTGGCATTCAGGCCAAAGAGTTCAATCTTGGTTTCATCAGACCAGAGAATCTTGTTTCTCATTGTCTGAGAATCCTTTAGGTGCCTTTTGGCAAACTCCAAGCGGGCTGTCATGTGCCTTTTACTGAGGAGTGGCTTCAATCTGGCCACTCTACCATAATGGCCTGATTGGTGGAGTACTGCAGAGATTGTTGTCCTTCTGGAAGGTTCTCCCATCTCCACAGAGGAACTCTGGTGCTCTGTCAGAGTGACCATAGGGTTCTTGGTCACGTCCCTGACCAAGGACCTTCTCAGTTTGCCCAGGAAGCTAGCTCTAGGAAGAGTCTTGGTGGTTCCAAACTGCTTCCATTTAAGAATGATGGAGGCCACGGTTCTTGGGGACCTTCAATGTTTGAGCAAATCAGTTGTGTTGTGACAAGGTGGGGGGTATACAAAAGATAGCCCTATTTGGTAAAAGACCAAGTCCATATTATGGCAAGAACAGCTCAAATAAGCAAAGAGAAATTACATTCCATCATTACTTTAAGATATGAAGGTCAGTCAATACGGAACATTTCAAGAACTTTGAAAGTTTCTTCAAGTGCAGTCGCAAAAACAATCAAGTGCTATGATGAAACTGGCTCTCATGAGGTCCGCCACAGGAATGGAAGACCCAGAGTTACCTCTGCTGCAGAGGATAAGTTCATTAGAGTTACCAGCCTCAGAAATTGCAGCCCAAATAAATGCTTCACAGAGTTCAAGTAACAGACACATCTCAACATCAACTGCTCAGAGGGGACTGTGTGAATCAGGCCTTCATGGTCGAATTGCTGCAAAGAAACCACTACTAAAGGACACCAATAAGAAGAAGAGACCTGCTTGGGCCAAAAAACACGAGCAATGGACAGACCGGTGGAAATGTGTCCTTGGTCTGATGAGTCCAAATTTGAGATTTTTGGTTCCAACCGCCGTGTCTTTGTGAGACGCGGTATGGGTGAACAGATGATCTCTGCATGTGTATTTCCCACCGTAAAGCATGGAGGAGGTGGTGTTATGGTGTGGTGGTGCTTTGCTGGTGACACTGTCTGTGATTTAACCAGCATGAAAAAAATAAAAATGTATGCACTCAACTGTAAGTCGCTCTGGATAAGAGCGTCTGCTAAATGACTAAAAATTTAAAAATGTAAATAGCTACCACAGCATTCTGCAGCGATACGCCATCCCATCTGGTTTGGGCTTAGTGGGACTATCATTTGTTTTTCAACAGAACAATGACCCAACACACCTCCAGGCTGTGTAAGGGCTATTTTACCAAGAAGGAGAGTGATGGAGTGCTGCATCAGATGACCAGGCCTCCACAATCCCCCGACCTCAACCCAACCACAAAATTAAGAAAAATCCTTGAATGAGTAGGTGTGTCCAAACTTTTGACTGGTAGCGTATGTAAATAAGGTATCATTTTTTTTTTTTTTTTAATAAAATTGCAAACCTGTTTTCACTTTGTCATTATGAGGTATTGTGTGTAGATTGATAAGTAAAACAAATTATTCAATCCATTTTAGAATAAGGCTGTAACGTAACAAAATGTGGAAAAAGTCAAGAGGTCTGAATACTTTCCGAATGCACTGTATATGAACTGTGTACAGTATATCATGACAGTGTTACATCTCCTCTCCCTCACCTCCACTTTGATGGCACAGCGGCCGATGGCTCGGACTGCCTTCCGCACAAAGTCCACATCCACCTCAGTGGCATACTCCTTCAGCTCCGCCAGCACCTAAAAAAAACACCAGCATGGGGTCACTGATACTGGCTTTCATCTTGTCTAGGAATCACATTACTGCTTGTCCATGTTATTTACCAAAATGTTACTTATAATACAAAATAATGGCTTCTAAAGGTTCTCACTAGTAACAGTAGTGTGTGTGTTGGTCACCTGGGCGATGTTGGCTTGAGATGCCAGGCGGATCATGATGTCCAGTTTCTCCAGCTTGACGTAGATGGGGTCGTTGTACTTCACAAAGAACACCTTCATCTCATGCTTCAGGATCTCTGGGCTGCATAGAGAAACAGGTAGGATTGCTATCAATAGAAAAGTAATATGTCATTTCAATAATGGTGGAAATAGTAGAATACAGCCAACACATCCAAACTATTTAATGTGCAGAGGAAACACTGTCACCGTCCCAAACGGCACCCTATTCCATATATAATGCAGTCCTTTTGACCAGGGCCCAGGTCAGAAGTAGCGCACTATATAGTGCAGGGCTCTCCAACCCTGTTCCTGGAGAGCTACCGTCCTGTAGGTTTTAACTCCAACCCTGTTCCTGGAGAGCTACCGTCCTGTAGGTTTTAACTCCAACCCTGTTCCTGGAGAGCTACCGTCCTGTAGGTTTTAACTCCAACCCTGTTCCTGGAGAGATACCGTCCTGTAGGTTTTAACTCCAACACTAATCTAGCGTACCTGATTCTAATAATTAGCTGGTTGATAAGCAGAATCAGGTTAGTTACAACTGGGGTTGGAGTGAAAACCTACAGGAGGGTCTCTCTCCAGGAATAGGGTTGGAGTGAAAACCTACAGGAGGGTAGCTCTCCAGGAACAAGGTTGGAAAGCCCTGATATAGGGAATAGAGTGCTATTAGGACAGCACACACTGAATAGCTGTATTAAGCTGTGACACTCATTTGTGTTGGTAGTCGCTCTGTCCCTCCCAGGCCCTCCTACCGTTTCTGTACGATGAGGTTGATGTTCCTCAGGGCCACATACTGCAGCTCGGGCTCTGCAGACAGCAGGGTGACCAGGGGTGGGGCCAGCTTCTTCAGCAAGGTGCCATAATAGTCCAGGTCCTTAGGAAGCATCTCCATGAACTTCATCAGCACCTTGACCGCCGAAAGCACTACCGCAGAGTTGGCATGGGACAGACGGGGGGTCACCCGCTCACAAATACTACAGAATGAGAGAGGGAGGGGAGGACAGAGATGAGACGAGTACAAATAGAGGGGAGGAGAGAGTGGGGAAATGTACGCTTCTTATACAGCAGATGGATGTGGACACTGACAGGAAGTATCAGTGTGTCAGAGACAATGTAATAAACTAGGAGGCATCCAGTGCTTTCTGACCTCTGGGACTCGCGGTCGTCGCGAGGGGTGTAGTTGGCCAGGCAGTCCAGAATGAAGATCTGACCCCACTCGGTGCACTCGTTGAGGGCAGTCAGCAGCTTGTTGATGGACTGCGGGTTCAGGTCCAGCAGGTTGCTGTTGGGGTGGGACTCTGCAATCTCAGACAGGGCTGCCACAGCATTCGCTACCACCTGAAAGAGAAGGAGAGGGTGAGAAAGTGGGTAAGTTAGACTGCAAGAGCACATACCCTAGTTGGCTGCAATGAGATGACAAAAGTCATTCATTGCCAAACAGCGATACAAATCTGATACCACAAGTGCCCTTGTTCTGGTAAAAAACTAATGGCAGCCATGACACTTTCCCCACATCTGACCATTGTTTCATCACAGAGAGAGTTACAGAAACCCTCCAGCACTCCCTCCTGCCTCATGTCCGGCCTCCATCTCTGGTGATCTACCCCAGGCCCCTGTGATCCAAGCGAGGCCCCCCCCCTTGTATCCACCCCAGGCTTCTGTCCTTGCCCTAGTGAGGCGAAGACCAGCAGAAGAGGGTGATATCCTTCCTGCCACAAAGACCTGCCTCAGAAAGTCCTGAGCTGCTGATTCCAGAGAACCGTCGGGCAACTCAAGAAGAAGCAGCAGCTGATTGACCGGACGCTGTTTACCAGGAGCCACCTATGGAGCTCACAATTCATCACTATCCTTGCCCCGGTGGGGCAAAGACCAGAAGAGGGCGATGTCCTTGTCGCCGAGGCCTGCCTCAGAAAGTGCCGCGAGAGCTTGGAGGCAACGCTCAACAAGGAGCAGCAGCGGTGGATTGGGGAGATCACAATTCATCAAAGACTTGCTTGAGAGAGACACCAGACTAACGCCGGTCCAGTGTGAGCTGGAGGGCAGCAGTGGATTTGCCGAACGCGGTGTACTATCGCCCGACCCCTTCTTTGCATGTCCACTGTGTGACATTTAAGTGTGACATTTGTAACTAATCTGTATTTCACTCAAATGTGTGGCATGAATGGGCGGCAGGTAGCTTAGTGGTTAAGAGCGTTGTGCCAGTAACCAAAAGGTCACTGGTTCTAATCCCCGAGCCGACTAGGTGAAAAATCTGTCGATGTGCCCTTGAGCAAGGCACTTAATCCTAGTTGCTATGGATAAGAGTGTCTGCTAAATGACTAAAATGTAAATGTAATGAATATATGCACTACTTTCATTTTTATGGCCCCCTCCAACTTCAAAATGTTGTGAACTGAAATGAACTGAACTGTGTTTTAAGTGCTACTACAAGTCGCTCTAAATAAGAGCGTATGCTAAATGACTAAAATGTAAATGTAACCTCCCATTCGTGAAAAGTAGGACTATAGCCCTAGAGCCAGTAGTCTAACCCAAGGTCAGGTAGTCTAGCAGGCTGGTCAGCCTGCCATGGGAGCCTCACCATGGGGTTGGAGTCAGAGATTAGGTCCTTGAGGGTGTCCAGGAAGCCCTGGTCCTCCACCAGCTGGGCGTTGATGTCATGGAGCTTGGCCACGCACACGGCTGCAGTCTTCCTCACGTAGGGGTCCTCGTCCTTCAGACATTTCCTCAGAGGCTCACACAGGTACTCAGTGATCTTGTCCACACGGATGCAGCCCATAGTACGCACAGCCAGGGCCCGGATCAGGGGGTTAGGGTCCTCACAGTCCTGAAGGAGGAGGAGAGTCTCTATGTTAGTTTTCACACACTGAGGAGTATTGAGATGTCGCCACCACAGTCTACGAAATTAACTTTGAGCAATAGCTCAGTACTGTTTGTCGGACCTGCCCTGGTTTTGTGCTTTACCTTGACGAAGGTGTTGACAGCCATGATGGCCATGTCGGGCTGGCTCTTGGCATAGTTCATCAGGTACAGGTAGACCAGCTTCTTCAGCTCCAGGTTGTCAGTCTGCATGCAGTTCACCACATCTGGAAACAGGGCACTGGGGGAGTGGGGGAGTCATAGAATTACATATAAAATGGTGAGGGTCTATGAAATCAGCCACTAGTGAATTTTAGGATCTCTATACTGGAGCAGAGTCAGGATGGGCAATGAATATTAACCACATTCTCACATGTTCAGAGACGACACGGTGCTACCTGAGCGTGGAAATGGACCATGTTATAGCGTCTCTTTTCACCATGAGTTTCTGACATAGTCTAACAGGACTCACCTGACATCTTTCCCAACAGTCATGGAGGCAATGACCTTCTTCACAGCCTCCTTCTTCTTCTCCTTCTTATCGCTGTTCAGCTCGGCTTTCAGCTCAAAGATCTCTCCTGCACACACATGAAAATGGAACATAACAGATAGCAGAAGTATGTGTACATGGAGTAGTCATGTATAATGCTTCAGATCAAGACTGGTGTAAATAACCAGTCACTGAAGGGTGCACTGCACACACTGCTGCACAGTTACTTTGATTACAATTAATTTCACCACATGAACACATTTATTGTTATAGAGATACGGTTGACATAGAAGTGTTCAAAAACACTGGATAAAGCTTGGTTAAACAACACTGTACAACTCCAAGAGACCTCTGCAGCCCTGCTCCATTTGTAGGGCCTATATGTACACTACCAGTCAAAAGTTTTAGAACACCTACTCATTCAAGTTTTTTTTTTTCTTTATTTTTACTATTTTCTACATTGTCGAATAATAGTGACGACATCAAAACTATGAAATAACACATGGAATCATGTAGTAACCAAAAAAGTGTTCAACAAATCAGAATATATTTGAGATTTGAGATTCCACAAAGTAGCCACCCTTTGCCTTGATGACAGCTTTACACACTCTTGGCAGGATTTTCAATCCTTAAAACCACTGGGTTGGCAGACAGGTGTTTGTGAGAGTAAAGACTCCTAGCCAAGCCCAGAGAGGAGCTGGACTGATCTGTAAGGCTGCACTGAGAAGAGGTTGAAGTCCAGCCTCTGTCTGTGTTTGTCTTTGCACCTACACTACCGGTGAAAAGTTTTAGTACACCTACTCATTCAAGGTTTTCACTTAACCAGCATGGCTACCACAGCATTACGCCATCCCATCTGGCTATTTGATGAATCCCAAATATAAAATATATTTTGATTTGTTTAACACTTTTGGTTACTACATGATTCCATGTGTTATTTTATAGTTTTGATGTCTTCACTATTATTCTACAATGTAGAAAATAGTAAAAAATTAAGAAAAACCCTTGAATGAGTAGGTGTTCTAAAATTTCCAGGCACTAATCTATTGAATTCACATGACTGGGCAGGGGCGCAACCATGAGGGAGGCCCACCCACTGGGGAGCCAGGATCTGCCAATTAGAATGAGTTTCTCCCCCACAAAAGGGCTTTATTACAGAAACACTCCTCAGTTTCAACAGCTGTCCGGGTGACTGGTCTCAGATGATCCCACAGGTGAAGAATCTGGATGTGGAGGTCCTGGGCTGTCATGGTTACACGTGGTCTGCGGTTGTGAGGCTGGTTGGACGTACTACTGTTGTGTGACAAAACTGCACATTTTAGATAGGCCTTTTATTGTCCCCAGCACAAGGTCCACCTGTGTAATGATCATGCTGTTTAATCAGCTTCTTGAAAAGCCTCACCTGTCAAGTGGATGGATTATCTTGGCAAAGGAGCAAGGATGTAAACAAATATGTGCACAAAAGTAGAGAATTTAGCTTTTTGTGCGTATGGAACATTTCTGGGCTCTTTTATTTCAGCTCATGAAACATGGGACCAACAATTTACATGTTCCGTTTATATTCTTGTTCAGTATACATAGCCCAGTGGAGGCTGCTGAGGGGAGAACAGCTCATAGTAAATGGCAAGAACGGAGCAAATGGAATGGCATCAAACACCTGGAAACCATGTGTTTGATGCATTTGATACCATTCCACTGATTCCGCTCAAGTCATTACCACAAGCCTGTTCTCCCCAATTAAGGTGCCATCAACCTCCTGTGACATAGCCTCATTCTTGTGAATTGTATTCCTTGTGTCATAATTTTTTTAACTCTGCATCGTCGGGTAAGGGATCGTAAGTAAGCATTTCACGGTAAAGCCTACCTACACCTGTTGTATTCGGCGCATATGAAAAATATAATTTGATTTCATCGATTTTAAAACACAGAGACAGTGGAGATGACAGCCTGCTGCGCTGGACAATAAAACAAGGACAAGGGATACTAACCCAGCATTCCCAACCACGTCTCACACAGGCTAAACAAACACAAGGAGAAAAGTCTCCTTCATAAGCGCTATGTCACGTTAAATGGTAGTGAGTGGCTGGCTGTCTTGGGGGTTGTTTTTGGAGAGGTGAGAGAATGCAGAGGGAGGTAGATGGGGAAAGCTGGAGGGACAGCAGGAGGGCTAACTTAAAGAGTGCTAAAGTCTGATGCCCCTAATTGCATTTAGAGGTCACCCTCAGCTGTTCTAGTCTTGCTTTCACCAGCCACACACACACGGGCTGCTGCTAAGCCCTGTTTTGTCCACTTTTTGTTGATGTTGCTTTCTATTGGGTTTTTGGGTGTCTGGAAACATGTATACCCTGAAACTGACATCAAGAAGAATGTCTCGATGTACACTACCAGCCAAAAGTTTGGACACACCTACTCATTCAAGGGTTTTTCTTTATTTTTACATTGTAGAATAGTGAAGACATCAAAACTATGAAATAACACATGGAATCATGTAGTAACCAAAAAAGTGTTAAACAAATCAAAATATATTTTATATTTGAGATTCTTCTTGAGTCCAAATTTGAGATTTTTGGTTCCAACCGCCGTGTCTTTGTGAGATGCGGTGTGGGTGAACGGATTATCTCCACATGTTTATTTCCCATCGTAAAGCATGGAGGAGGTGGTGTTATGGTGCTTTGCTGGTGACACTGTCTGTGATTTCTTTAGAATTCAAGGCACACTTAACCAGCATGGCTACCACAGCATTCTGCAGCGATACACCATCCCATGTGGTTTGGGCTTAGTGGGACTATCATTTCTTTTTCAACAGGACAATGACCCAACACACCTCCAGGCTGTGTAAGGGCTATTTTACCAAGAAGGAGAGTGATGAGTGCTGCATCAGATGACCTGGACTCCACAATCCCCCGACCTCAACCAAATTGAGATGGTTTGGGATGAGTCGGACCGCAGAGTGAAGGAAAAGCAGCCAACAAGTGCTCAGCATATGTGGGAACTCCTTCAAGACTGTTGGAAAAGCATTCCAGGTGAAGCTGGTTGAGAGAATGCCAAGAGTGTGCAAAGCTGTCATCAAGGCAAAGGGTGGCTATTTAACACTTTTTTGGTTACTACATGATCCATATGTGTTATTTCATAGTTTTGATGTCTTCACTATTATTCATAGTTTTGATGTCTTCACTATTATTCTACAATGTAGAAAATAGTAAAAATAAAGAAAAACCCTGGAATGAGTAGGTGTGTCCAAACTTTTGACTGGTACTGTATTTGTTGTGAGAGTTTGTGGTTGGGAGCAATTTTTTTCTATAACATTTTCTAAGTTAACCATTGCTACATTGCTATGGTGGCTCTGTCCATCAGCGGGATCATGAAGCTTAGGTCTCCCTGATTTTGATGACACAACATTTGGATTAGGGCCTAAAAACAAGTCATGATTCATGCCTAATATGACAAGAGTAGCCTAAAGCTGGGCTCTGAATAAATGTTTAACAATAAATAGGCCTAATCGAAATTCACTTTTGAAAGTAATAAGTAACCAGACCTTTCTTAGTAGTGGTGAAATACTTGGAGTCCGTCATCTTAGATCCAAATTGTCGGGTCTCCTGCAAGAGAACAAGAGAGAAAGATAATGAAAAACAGAAAAACAAGCACTGAAGTCTTTTTTTCCTAAAAGGAGAGGGATCCGCAAAGGAGACAGGAAACTGTCAAACTGCAGGCAAAATAAGAGGACGTTATTTCTTCCATCACTTGGTACTTGGCTGTGATGTTTTTCTATTAGATAAAACAATGGACAATGTGTAAAAACACAGTATGTGCTGTTTTTTCGTCGACCAATCAGCCAGCCTGACGCTGTACTTCTGCACGAGGTAACTCTATAGACATCAATGTAAAGTTTGACAGTATGAACAATAAACTAAAAATGCCACTACTACCATGTTATCACACCCTGCTCCCATAGTGATAATGCAAAGAGCACAATGCCTGTTGAGAGCCCGTCTGGATGGGCAAAGATAACAATAACAGTTGGAAGAAAAATGTTGCTGTCCACCGCCCTGGCACACTGGCTGGACAAGTTTGTAAATTGCAGTGCTGTGTGGTGGTGGTTCATTTGACAGGACCCTCACCAAATTCCCTGGGACTAAAAGTCGCTCCTCTTGTTCCCCCCGCCCCCACCCACCCACTACTCTTAGTCTCTTCCCAATCTCACCAGAGGAAAGATGCACAATATTAGCCTCCTTGCTACTGGGAAGCTAGCGTAGTCATTGCTTACTAACTAGCTAGTAGCTGTGCTAGCTTGGCTACAACTCAGACTAGAGCAGTGGTTACTGTCAACAATCTGGTCCAGATGCTGGAGACTCAGAAAATCGAATTTGATTTAGGTCAAACCCTGATACAGAGTAATGCTAGTTAAATGTTATTGTTTGAGGTGAATTAATAAAATGTGTTGCCTACATTCAAAAGTGTAAGTACCGTATTAGTACTATCATGACAACCAGATCTGTGGCCCTTTGGGAACAAATATATGAACTGAATATGCTCACAGTAGGGCCTAATTACTGTGTTATGGCAATAACTGGCTGTCAACAGCCAGTTGTCATAATGCATATTTTGCCTCAACACAGACTGACTTCGCATCTAACGTTATCATTAAGTCAATTATTCACCAAGTTGCTGTAAATTAATCACTATTTTCAACAACTAGTTAGCTAGTTTTCAAAGGTTTAGTAAAGGAGTTGAAATTGACAAACACTGCGTGGCATCTTTGACAGCGAACAGGAGCCATTCAACAGCTGTCAAAAATCAAGCGATTGACCGATTGTTATTACCTAACTGTTTGCTAACTAGGTTGCTAATAGTGTTAGCTAGATGGCTAGCAGCTTAGCTACAACATATGCTATTTTAACCCGGTGCCATTCCAATATATTGAAATACCCTGTAAGTTACCTACTTATGTGGATAAGGTACAGTGTTAAAAGCCCTGGCAAAATATTGTCATCGTAACTAACTAACTACACATTTTCACAATTCCTACTTGTGATTGCTAGCTAACAGTAGTTAACAAAAACATTAGCCAACAGCTAGTTAGCTAGCCAGAA